TCCCCCAGCCCAGCCAGAGGCATCCCTCCCTACAGTGCAGGCAGTGACAGCAGCCCCCGAGGCCGATCTCATCCCCGGACAGGGGCCCAGCCCCCCCCCAGTCAAGCACCCCCCAAGGAGGAGCACCAAAACCTACCCCGACAACACCGGCCATGCGCCCCAGAGACTCCCGAATGCCCCCACCGTGAGAGAGCTGGCAGGGGGAAGCAGTGGGAACCTCACCTCTGCCGAAGAGGGCCCAGGCGAGGAGAGGAGACAACGGGCCCCCAGGCCCAGAGACACACCACCCGCCCAGAAATGAGCAAAGGCCACAAGCCCCTAGACAGGGTTTCTGAATGCTTGATTGATTGTAGTTGTTGTTTGTGTCTTGTTTGATAGGACTGGCAGGCTAAAACTGAATTGCCCTATGGGGATAAATGAAGTTGTTTAAATGGAATAATAATAATAATATAATTTTTAATTATATAGCACTTTTAAAAATCCATGTTACAAAGTACTTCACAAAGGCAGAAATATAAAACACACAAGTCGTAAAACTATAAATATGCGCTACAAACACAGCAAATCCTGGGGTGTTCTACTGGGCTGGTAACTGGAGTAAAGGTGCTGTGTTTAAATATAGAGGAAAGGCGCAGTGGTCTCCCCAACAACAGCAGAGATCCCACTACAGTACGGGATGGTAGCATTGTATCACCATTTGCAGTATCAAAGTCCAAGTATCCTCATAGGACCTGGTGTGGAAATCTACTGTGTTGGAAGTTTTCTTCCAAGTGTATCCAACTACAATAATAAAAATTTTAAACTTGAAAATCATCCCACAAAAATACTCATTCTGAGCCTGGACTCACTGTAACTTACTGAGATGATCTCATCTACAAAGCCTATCTGTTCATTGCACTCGATACACAGATACACACATGCTTAGACACACTTTACTCTCCCCCTTTCTGCACTCCGAGCTTGTTGTTTCTACTTGTGCCTTGGCTGAAAGTGGTAGTCACACTCTCTACCTCCCTACCTCCCCCTCTCTCTCTCTCTCTGTCTCTCTCTCTCTCTGTCTCTCTGTGTCTCTCTCTCTGTCTCTCTGTGTCTCTCTCTGTGTGTGTGTCTCTCTCTCTCTCTGTGTGTGTCTCTCTCTCTCTCTCTCTGTCTCTCTGTGTCTCTCTCTCTCTCTCTGTGTCTCTCTCTGTGTGTCTCTCTCTCTCTCTCTCCCTCTCCCTCCCTCTGTATGTGCCTGGGCCTGGCTTGTTGACTTTAGCTGGTCCATGTGTTGTGCTGCTGCTAGAGGGGATGGTTCTTGGCACAGCCAAGGCCAATGCAAGTTGAAGGAGGAAGGAGGGTAAGAGGGAGTGTGTGTGTGGGTGTGAGAGAGTGAGTGTATGATTTTGTTTGTGCATGTACTGTGTTATGTATGTGTGCCAAATGCTCCAACCAGAGGCATCCACAAATGCACGTACTACATGCGTGTGCGCAGACACAGACACACACGCACACATTTGCTCCACTATCCCCTTGGGGACATATCATTGACATAAAGCATTCCCCAGCCCCTTACCCTAGCCTTAACCATCCCAACTACATACCTAACATTAACCCTTATCCTAACCCTAACCTTAACCTAATTCTAACCCTAACCCTAAAACCAAGTCTTGACCCTTAAACAGCCCTTTAAACTTGTTGGGTCCAGCATTTTGGTCCCCACAAAGCTGACAGAACTGACAAGTATTGTAGAATCCTGGGTTTTGGACACTGCGGATATAGTACAACACGCCCCCACAAACATACACACACACGCACGTAAATGGAGTGAAGACATTAAGGGATAGTACCTGCCTCATAAAACACGTCTGTCAGTGACGGGGTTCGTAAATTTGACTGCTCAGAGTATAAATGGTGTCACTACACTACATTGAATACCTCAGTTACCACACAGTGTGTGTATGTGCCTACACATGTTCATGTGTATGTGAGGGGGAGAACGTTTCTGTTTCATGTCATCGTTAAATTTACTGCACGCCATGAATGTACCGTGGTCGGACTGAAAGGCTTTTGTAAACATCCAGATTTGGGGAGTCAAAAAACAGAAACCCCAAAACACCCTTCCCCCAAACACACACATACAAGCATATATCACACACACTGACTGACTTTGTTGACAGCGATGTCTGCTCTCCTATCAAACTCCTTCTGGGTACTAAATAAAGGCATCCCCACTTTAACTTGCTCCAAAAATAAAGCCTCTCATAAGAAGATGCAGGCAGATTTACTGTTGCGTCAGTGCAGTTGCTCTTTAGCCTGTCCCCCACTCCCACCAAGTTTAATGACTCCGTAGTTATTTCACACACACAAGAGAAGTGATAGAGAGAGTAGGGGACAGTGTCAAGTAGAGTATCATCGTTGAACAGATATGGTGGGGCTGTTATCAGTACGAGCTGGTTTTATGATGACAGAACGTGGCAGCCGTCTGCTTCTGACTTGGTGTAAACACTGATATCAAAGTCAAGCTGATGGCAACAGTAGACCAGCTATACCAAGGTCAGCATGAATAAAAGTCAATCGACAATTGGCCCTCAGAGAGAGGGTCTAAAACATGCCATTAGTTTGTTGCTTAACACAGACACACACACCAGATGTAATGAAACTGCGGTTGAGTGTCATGGTTCTGCCGGGAAGCAGTGGAAGGAAAAAGCTCAATGTCAGGAAATCAGAGTGGGTTGGGGGGGGGGGGGGTCTGGTGGTGTTGGTATTGTGTGTGTGTGTGTGTGTGTGTGTGTGTGTGTGTGTGTGTGTGTGAGTGAGAGAGAGAATCAAAGTTTGAATTAACTCTGGAAACAACTAATATTTTCCCTTCTAGTTTGTGTTTTTTTAGTATTCTGTGTCACTAATACGCACTCACACATGTTTGTTTGTCTATCATAAACCTAACCTTAACCATTACAGCTACATGCCTAACTTTAACCCTAACCATAACCCAATTGTAACCTGAACCCTAAAATCAAGTCTTGACCCCCTAAGTGGGCATTCAGGTTAAATTCCCCACTGGGATATAAAAACATGAAAGACACACACACACACACACACACATCAAAAACAGGCATGCATGACTGTCAGTGGTATGCTATTATGCTATTAGTATAGCACTTTTCCACACCATAGGCAAATGGAACTCCAAACTCACATTTTAAGCACCATTTCCTTAATTCCAGAGTCATGCTAACAACACGTTGTCCATGTTGGCAACAAATTGAGAAAAACGGCTCAGAAATGTTATTAAGATAGAGACAAGAGGCCCATAAATCAAAAGCGTGTCCCTGGTTGGCCCTGTTTAGTGCTGAAAACAAGGCTAATGACTGAAACAGGACACCGCTAATCTTGTTATCTCTTTATCTCTCGTCCAGACTGTATGTGTGCTGCCCGCCTCTCCTCTGGCTACGTCTTCTGTTTTAGCTGTGGTGTGGATATTATTCTTTGCATACAGTGATTGTCTCCAATGCTGGTATTTTATAATTATACACAATGGTTTTGCCAACTGCCCGCATTGTATTCAGAGCACACAAACATTCGCGCACACACAAACTTAACTCATATTTTGAGTTGTTGTGAAGTAAAACCAGCATCTTTCCTGTGAACTTCCAGACCGTCGCTGAGAGGTTCTTTCATATCTGGTACATTCCTCTGTGATCTGCTTGCTCCCCATCCAACACATTCTCATCAGCGTGGGAGCTGAGACACTTTCTGAACTTTTTCTGTGTGCATAAAATGGTTTTTAAAGTCTTGTCACTTCTAAGAGTGTGTGTGAGTGAGAATGTGTGTGTGTGATCAGGGACACATACGCTTGCTGATTTACACCGTACTTTTGTACGTGTTTGTGAACTCCAGAGTTTTTATGCTGAGTGTGTTTGTGTTTGTTTGTGTGTGTGTGCTCGCACTGAGACTCAGAGTGGATCTCTGCCAGGGCTTAGGGCTTGGCTGAGAGAACGCCTCAAACCAGTTTACTCTGGTTGTGTAGTGGAGAAGTCTGGGGGCGGGACAAGGACCTCTTAAAGCTGCAGACCATGTGTATGTCTGCTTCTGTCTCTTTTTGTGTATGTGTGTTAGTTAGTGTTAAAGTGTGTGTTCATATATTAACAGTTCACTGCATCTGGATGTGCATATTTCATACATAGTAGTACATAATGGATAGATACTCACCTCATTGTATTGGCTTTGACAGCTCACTTATTTGGGGATTTTACATTTTTTGAATTTGAATGCGTTTAAGTGTGTGCAAATGTGCATAAATGTGTGTGTGAGTTTTTGGCCCCTGCCTTAGATAATTTCCCTTGCATTTTGCTTTCAAGGACAGCAAACAAAAAGGACAACAGAGGTGAAGAGTGCAAAATCGAGTTGATTAACAGAATAAGTCTGCGTGAAGCAGAGAAGTTTGTGCTTCACTGCAGGATGACACAAATTACTGTTGCGCTCGGTCACATTTTTATTAGAATGCTGGATGCCAGAGCACACTCTTTGGGCTCCCTGTGTGTGCTGTGTGTATGTGTTCGCTGCTAGTTCAAGTGGACAGTGTAAATAAGGTTTAAGCTCAGGGTGGACTGCTCAGCATGGGGTGTACAGGGCAGGAAGGGAGGAACAAGCATCTCTCGCCCTCTCTCGAAGTTGCACAAGCTGTGCAAAAAACACACCACAAAACCCTTTCACTCTAGAAGCTTTCCATTACATCCTCATGTACACACACGCACATACTCAAACACACACACAAACAGTATGCTGCCTGCCCAAGATTTACTGTACATATAACCATGTATCTCTCTCTGCTGACTACTTCTTTTGTTGGATTTGTCAACCACATCATCCACCTTTTTTTCTAATGTCACTATTGATATTTTTGAGGGCTACATAGAGAAGGCCTTTTTTTCTAATAAAATAAATTTTCCATTACTCAAAATAACAAACTGCTTTATAGAGTATGGCTGAAGTTCCTAGTCAAGTGGAGACGGGTGATAATCCACACCTAACTTTTTCCTGTGTGGTCAATCTCTATTTGTATGTTTTGCAGGAAGCCCTCAGGCCATGCTGATAAGGAGGTGATGGCTGCCACCGTCCTGACCTCGCTGTCCACATCCCCTTTGGTGCTCTACCCTTCCTCTGCACCCACAGGTAACATCACTGCATCAGCTGTATTCTACTTGCAGGGTTAACTACTCCATGAAATACTTACTCATCCGCTGTAAACAAATGGAGGTCACTCACTTTAAGTCGTGCCTGATGAAGGTCTAGTACAGAAACATTGTGTCAATATATATATATATATTTTTTTGCAAATTAGACAGTGTGCAGGAGTTTTCTCGGCTACTTTTGACTCACCTGTTACCCTCTGACGCACCTGTCTCTTGCTATAGAGGTGTGAAGAAAAACTCATCATAGCTGACTTGATGTTAGTTTACCCTGACACAGCCTGCTGAGTCGTGCTAACCTGTATTCATCTAATGGAAGGGAGTTTTACAGGATTATTAGCGCTATTCCCTTATCTTTGTATACATACATGCTTACCCAAGCCAAGCACTTACTGCCAACTGTTCAGCCTTGACCCTATCACCACAGCTCCTCTTGCTGTTTCCAGTATTACTGTGGCTGCCATCACCATGCCAACCCTGCCAGACGGTCAAAGTCCTGTTGGCTTTTTTTTTCTTTTACCTCAGCATTATACCAAGGCTACTTTTGTATGATTTATGGCATATTGACATTAAAAGTTGTTTTTATATTTTTTATTTTTAGGGCATGAAATAGGACTGGTCATGCTTTTTGTTTCTGTCTTATATAAGGCGACCACCCCAGGGCCTTAATAATTCTGTGAAATAGTAATCCTCATACACAAATTGATTTATGCCATATATTCAGATGAACGCGGATTCAGCTTCTTTCATTTCTATAGGAAACAGGAATTGGTTGGTATAGGCCTAAATTAATACCCAACATATATGATATTAAGGTTTTCTCTATCTTGGGAGTTGCTGTTTTACCGCGGTGAAAGTGAGGCCACGGCGGTGATTATCAGATATTATAGATTAAGGATTATTGGATTGGTCAAAAGGCCAAAGTGTACAGAAAGGGCTTGTGGGCTAGGACTTAAGTGAAATACTGTAGTACCTTGTCCATGAACTTAAGGCTGTGTTTGGGCTTAATGGCCAGAGCTCAGCAGAGCTAAATGCTAAATGTTAGGGCATTAAAATATCTACTATATATAAGAGATTAAATATATTAGCATTTATATATCCAACAGGAATGGCTTTTGAAAGATGTTCGATTTTCATCACAGAGTTAGAATTTGGGTCAGGATTGTTTTGCATACAGTCCCAACATTATCTTGCCCATATTGTTTTTAATTCAGGCCTTTTGAAATTGTGCGCACTTACACTCATGTTCACATTTGGCTGTCTTCAAAGAGGATACATCTCCTTTTTAGCCATCTTGCAGTTAATCTGAAGTTAACTGTGTGTGTTCTTTAAACTGTAGTCCCGGAGCCAGCCAGCAGGGCTTGGAAAGAGGTGCTGTCGGCTAGCTACAGCAGTTCAACCAGTGGCAACTGGAGCTGGGATGCCAGCGATCAATCAGTGCCCTCCACACCGTCCCCACCTCTTTCCAACGAAACCAACAAGAACTTCCTGCTCTCGGCCCAAAGTGATGATGTCAATGAGGATGTCACAGAGAGCACGCACTTCTTGTTTGAGGACCCTATACCTCGTAAGCGAAAGGTAAAGATGTCATATCCCATTGTAGTGAATTTTGGAATGAAAATATTGTGAGGTGTATTTTTAATTTACTTTTATTTTTTAGAATATACAGTTGTTTATTTTTCACATTTTCTGCGTGTTATATTGCATGGGAAGCTAATTTAAACAATTTTTTTCCCATTCAGCAGCTCCTATTTATTGTAAACATGCTATGAACTCAACAAAAGTTATATTTCACTTGTCACCCTTTCTTTCTGAATTGGATTATACTTGCAATAAGGCATAATCACAGAGCAGTGTAATACCGGTGTCATTTTGTGTAGTAAATTTTTAGATTAGCATTAGCAATATCTGAAATTGAACTGGTGAAAAAGCAGCTAACATCTCTAGATTTAGACCAATTGTGCAATGTCAACACCTTCCAGTATCATTTTCAAACTTACTTATATTTAGTTTGATTTGATCTGCCAAATTAATTTTTGCTTTAATATTTGAATCAATATGTGTATTCGATTTATACATCATGCAAATGAGAAGTGGTAGACTCCTGACCAGCAGTTAGAGTAAGTGAACTATATTTCATTTGGATAATAAGTTAAACTCTACAGTCAGTAGAGTCATTGTCCAGGGCTGGACAATAAAACAATAACAATAATTATCGCAATATAATTTTTTTCAATAACAATATAACAAATGTTCAATAAATATTCAATAAATATTTGATTTTATTTACTTAAATCATACACGAATTAGGACTTCATTTTTCTTATTAAGATGTTTATTTTGTTGAGGAAAAGGACTGAAAAAGGTTTTACATAATTTTACTTCACGATTTTATCATAAATATTTTGAATGTTCTGTCTCAGATTTGTGATGTGATCCACTGTTTGGCAACAAGTGTTGACCATAAAGAAAAGTTTAAACCACAATTAACCATCAGGTTTCTTCAACTTTCACTCAGGAGCAAAAATCAGCCTTTAAACTTGAAAGAAAAAACTATTTGATACTTATCGTGATAATTATCAATATCGAAAGATTTGAAAGTTTTTATCGTGATAATATTTTTGGCCATATCGTTCAGCCCTAGTCAGTACAGTTTCTTGACTCTGCTAGTTGCTTAACACAGCTGTGGTTTTGTGGTTATCACAGCAGCCCCAGATCCTGTCCACTCCACTTTTAACTTAAACCAAAAATAAGCGCACGCTGAGCAATGGTTAAGGTACAAAGTTTGAGAGAAACAATTCGGGTGTGCTTTTGTTATTTCTATAAAGTAGCAGCAGGGAGAGACCTTGGAAAATCCCCTAGAAACATTCAGAAAATGTTAGCACCCTGCAGTTTTAAAGCCTCTGACATAAGGCCTGTCGCTTTCTGCTTGTGTGGATGATGGATTATGTCTCTTTCACTTCTCTCCCTCCATTTCTTTTACTGTAGAAACAGTCTATAACGTCCAAGTGTTTTCACTGTCAAGAAGCTGTCTGGGCCCTTTTTCATCTTTTCATGGGGGAGAGGTGGGAAGGTTTCATATGAATGAAGGAGAGCAGAGGGATGAACAGTGGGAAACAACACAAGGGTTAAGGGATGCATAAAAACGAGGACAGTCAGACGCAAAGGGTGTAGAGGAGGAGAGGAGAAATGAAGCTTGATGAAGGTAGCAACGGGAGGAGAAATGAATCTCAATATTTCGTCCACATTTTATACCTCGTACAGTGACAGAGGCGTGCTCCTACACCGTACAGTATGTAGGAGTTTGCAATTCAGCCTCCCTGGAGTGGGGCGGCAGTGAAGATTATTGAGCTGCCGAATGTATGAAACCAGAAAGGCTCCAAGGACGATGCTGCCAGAGACCCATGCCACACCATAGATAAGCAGACAGGAAATGAAGTAGGATGACGCTGGGAGGAAGATAGACACACACAAGTTGTGTGGAACAGGGAGGGAACGTTGCAGTATAGCTGACGCCAGACCAAGAGATCTAAACCTTCTATGAGCAGCTGCCCTTTGGATTGCAGGCTCTTTTGATTTTGATTTTTTTTTTGCAGGCAGTGAGTTAAGAGGATTATTAAACATGGCAATCACCGGTCTTACTGTAACAGTGTTAAGATGCAAGAAAAACGCTTAGGGAATTAAGTGATTTGTGATTGTTAGTGGGATTAAAGACTAGCTTTGCTGTGTCATTTTTATTAAGAGGGTTGTTTTAAATAGCATGGGGACATGGGAACATGCAAATAGCCAGCCCACTTGAGCAGTTTAATGTAGAGCCTGACCGATTTATCTGTCAGTTGATTTTTTTGGGCAGATACAGGGCTGATATGGGCTTATCACAGACATATCGGAATAAGCATATAAGTTTTCTGATATGCACCCGCAAAACATACAGTCCCCTCCAAAAGTATTGGAACGGTAAGGCAAATTCCTTTGTTTTTGTTGTTCACTGAAGACATTTGGGTTTAAGATCAAAAGATGAGTATGAGACAAGAGTTCAGAATTTCAGCTTTTACTTCCTCGTATTCACATCTAGATGTGTTAAACAACTTAGGGCATATCACCATTTGTATTAGGTATTACATTCTTAGGTCAGCAAAAGTAATGGAACAAATAATCTTAAAGTAAATAACATTTAATATTTGGTGGCATAACCCTCGCTTGCAATAACTGCCTCAAGCCTGCGACCCATCGACATCACCTCACATGCATGCTCTATTGGGTTACGGTCAGGTGATTGACTTGGCCAGTTTAAAACCTTCAACTTTTCCCCCCTGATGAAGTCCTTTGTTTTGTCGGCAGTGTGCTTTGGCTCATTGTCCTGCTGCATGATAAACTTCCTCCCGATTAGTTTCAATGCATTTCTCCGTAAATTGGCAGACAAAATGTTTCTCTACACTTCTGAATTCATTCTGCTGCTACCATCATCAGTTACATCATCAATAAATATTAATGAGCCTGTTCCTGAAGCAGCCGTGCACGCCCAAGCCATGACATTACCTCCACCATGCTTCACAGAGGAGCTTGAATGCTTCGGATCATAAGCAGTTCCTTTCTTTCTCCACACTTTGGCCTTTCCATCACTTTGCTAGAGATTAATCTGTGTCTCATCAGTCCAAGATTGTGTTCCAGAACTTTTGTGGCTCATCTCTGTACTTCTTTGCAAATTTCAATCTGGCCTTCCAATTCTTACTGCTGATGAGTGGTTTGCATCTAGTGGTGTGTCCTCTATATTTCTGCTCCCCGAGTCTTCTTCGAACAGTGGATCGTGATACCTTCACCCCTGCACTGTCGTTGGTGATGTCACTTACTGGTGTGTTTTAGAAATGGTGTCTTTACGTAGTTTGACCAGCAGATCTATTTTTAACCCTATTGTTTACAGTATTACAGACGGTGCAGAAATAGTCAAACAGTGTCTTTAGTTTTTCAAATACATACTGGAAAGCTAACAAACAATGATCCCATCGCAAGGTAAGCCTCATAGCACCTCTTCCCATTCATTCTGCAGCTGGTGGTGGATTGAGTCTGTTGAGTGTTGATTTCACCCTACACCTGCGACGCTGGAAAGTAAATAAACAACATCCGCATCTTTTACTCACGAGCTGATCATACTTGTTAATGTTATGCATTAACAGTGAAATATTGCTAAAGATGATATGTTTTGATAAGCAAGAAAAAAGCATTTCTGATTGGAGTTCAATCTATGGAAATAATGATTCGGAATCTAAACAATGTTGTAGTGGGGGAATGTAACTAATTACATTTACTCAAGTACTGTACTTTAGTACAATTTACTTGTACTTGTAACTTGTGCTTTACTTGAGTATTTCCATGGCATTTTCTGCTTTCACTCCACTACATTTAAAAGGTGAATATTGTACTTTTTACTCCACTGCATTTAATATTTCACAGCTATAATTATTAGTTACTTTTCAGATCAATATTTTAAACATAAAATATATGATCAGTTAAAATCAGTTGTCAACAATCTTAGAAATGCCCAGTTTAAATAAAATGTTTAACATGTTAAAGAATACAACTTTCTTTAATACAGTTATTTGCTTAAAAAAGCACCCCCCGGAGCACCTTTGCATAGTCATACCGGCGCAAAATTGTTGCACAATCCACATAGAAACGGCTCGTTCCAGCTCAGAAATGCCGCCATACCGGTAAACTGTGAATTATCCCCCTTTAAAATCTATATTGGTGTCAAGAATCCCACATCGGTCGGGCTCTAGTTGATGGCATGCTGTTGAAAAAAATGAAAGGGAGGGACAGTCTATGAAAAATAGTCCAGATGATTAGTAGATTAGTCTCCTTTTGTTATAATTATTGTATTTATTATTTATACTTTTTTCCCCTTTTTTTTGTGTGTGTGTATGTGTGTGTGTATATATATATATATATATATATATATATATATGCACAATTCTTTGGTTATTTATGTTTGTATTTCACACTTGTTTATGTAGATAAAGCCTTCTGCATTAAATAGAATTGAATAGCAATGTAGGAGTTAATATACCATTGATAAAAATCTGCTCTGCTCTCACTTCTCTTGCTCAGTGTTCCTCTTTCTGTCTTTCCTGCTGGCTACCTCCCTTCTTTCTCCATAGGCTGTTGGAAGGTAATGAGAGTACACACCCACTGTCTTTCATTAGCAGTGATACAGGTCCCTGCCTGCTCATGGGACAGCTGCCAGCCCCATGATATGCAAAATTAAAATTACAACAAATAAAAAATTACAAAATTAATAGAATAAAAGAAATTAATAGAAATAAAGAACACCCACTCCTTACAGCCTGCTTATGAACCAAGAAGAGTTTTTCTGGGCTTAATGTGAAATCAGATTAGAGGGGGATCGGTTATGAAAAGCATTTACAAATGCCACTTTTGCTGTTCAGAGGTTAAAAAGAGGTCAGTGTTGTTTTCACAGTTGTGCCTGTGTACCTGTGTCTATGTTTATATGGGTAAGTAATTCTGCATGTCTTGAATGTTGCGTTAAACATTAGGAGCACCCCAACACCAAACCACTTCCGGTAAGATAGATCTTCACGCAAGCCCACAACATGCGCAGACAGCAGGAACTGATCAGAACAGTCAATTTATTCTGCTCATCAATCTCAGCAAACATGCGAGTACTGTCAAGTAGACAGAAAAGGGTACAGTTTCAATGTCCCTTCTCTCTCCCTGTCTTTGTCTTTTACTCTGTATGTGTCTGAACTTGTCACGTATCGGGTTTCTATTTTTATCGGCTTGGTGCTCTAACAGCTCTCTAATGAGGTATTGTATTTGGCCCCTTGTAGAGTGACACTCAATCCCCCATGAAGACCTTTCTATTGAGGCTGCCAGTGAGATCCACAGAGAGGAGCATGACAATACATGCAGCATAAACCTCTTTTTCCCTTGAAACACTGATCAGTGATCTACACATATGTTTAATCAATGTTTCTACCATGACTGACAGCTGGTGTTTGTTTCATTTTTAAGACAATTATTCGCAGCCCCTGGGCTTTAAACAAGGGATTAAATAAATTAACCAAAAGATAGATGCAATGGAATAAAGGTATAGATATCAATGATATATCATCCCATCCTGATTTACTTACTTGTTTACACTTTAAGACACTGTTTCTGTGTTTATAGTGACACTTGATGCTGATCCATGTTGCCTTTGTGTTGAACATCTCTTTCAGAACTCCATGAAGGTGATGTTTAAGTGCCTGTGGAAGAACTGTGAAAAGGTCCTCAGCACCTCCTCAGGGATCCAGCGACACGTGCGCACCGTCCACCTGGGGTGAGAAACTGAACACACACCGAGAGCTCGCTTAATTTTTGACCAACTATCACCAGTTGTATTCTGCATATCTCTTATAGGTGTGTGGTCTAATGTTTCAAAAACTTATATTTGAAATCAAAATATTTTAGGTTCAATCCCTTTCCTCCCAATCCCCCAGTCTCTCATGTTGGCTTGTGTTTATTATGCACTTATCCACAGTTTTTGTCTTAGCTGAACCACTACACACACACACCCACAATGACTCACACACAAACGTCCACCGCTACCGGGCAGTGTGATGATCTGTATGACTCACACTGATGGTCCCCATTGTGACACTGGGAGTGTATAAAAGTTTGTTTTTTTATTTGTATTCATGTTTAGTTTTTTTTTCTCTTCCCAAAATCAGTTTGGAAATTGATAGGGATGATGTGAATTTGCATCATAGAACTTCACTACAGACCTTCACTGTGTAGGCCACTTAAGTAATTCCTTCTCTGCAGCGTCAGGGCAGTAGTGTTAAACTTTGTGATATAAATAACGCAGTATGACAAGAAGAAAAGTGACACGGGTCTGATTTGGCACAGCTTGGAGGCTGTCCAATAGCCTTTGCATCTGTATAGCTAAGCGTGTGTATTACCGCTTCTTCACACATGTGCCTTGTGCTTATATTATAGGTATGTTTTCCAATGAAGAAGAAGAATCACAATGCTTAAAAGATGACTCAATATGATATAAAATGTACAAGGTATCACATTGTATCATATTTGGGACACTTGAGAGATAAAAATTAAATGATACACTTGTCACCTAGTGAAATACAAAGCAGTAATAAAAAACTTTTAAAAACTATCCTCACAGTTATTATCATTTTATCCCCAGCTTGTTTGTTTGAGGACATCTGCAGCACACTGGCTTTTACTGCCCCCTGCTGCTGGGAAGAGTAACCGCTTCCTGCACTTTTTTTTTGGCCATGTGGCTCTGTGGTTCCCAACCTTTTTGTCTCATGTACCCTCATAACCATATCAGATGGGCTTGTGTACCCCTTTATCATACCCCTTTGATAGATGGAGATCAGCATTACATTTGTAATCTTACCGAAACACAAATATGTGGATAGATTTTATCAAAATCATAATGTCTGTTTTTTCAAATTAGCTGAGTTTTACAATTTTTCCACTTAACTCCTGGTACCTGCATGAGCACCCCTCATCATAATCATAAATATATGCAAAAATTTGTAAAATTGTAGTTTGAGTATTTGGTTGGAGCTTTTGTTGTTGATGGATTTTTTCCCCCAGTTCTCTTACTAAATTAGAAAACAATACAAAAACAATAACAATACTGACTACTGAACTGAAATTATGTGAAATAGAAAAAACATTATTCACCTTTATTTATTAGCATTTTTTTTGTAAACAGAATTTTTTTTGTGCCTAATTTACAGAGAAATATCTAACATCACGAAAATAATGTGCTAGATGGCGATGGCAAAATATCATAGGCCTACTCAACCAACCTCTGGCACATGTAACATGTAACATAATGCTTCTCAGAGCAATGTCCATTTGAGATCATGGACCTGTGCCAGATGACTGCAGATGAGAAAGTGTGTGGACATGTGTTGAAGAATTTTAAATGAAAGGGGAAAAACTGACTAAATTTCAACACCTAGAGTACCTACATAAAGATGTGATTAAAAGATATTGAAGAGAGAGTGATGCTCCAGAGTATAGTGTAGTTTATAATACCTAGCATTAATTGCCTGCACAGCCAACAGAGCGTAAAGCTGTACATCAATAAAGCTGCTGTGTTCAGAGCAGTTAGCAAGTACAAGAAGAGAAAGGACTGCATTATAGCATTAAAGTTTGACTCAAGTGTGTCTTCAAAAGTGACCCAAAGTATAAGAGGTCCAATGCGGTTTATTATTACTTCAAAGCTGAAACTGAAATAAAAAAATGGAGGTAAAATAACTTTCATTTAGGGAGATCCCGAAGAGTTTCTAAGTCGTTGCTGTTCTTCCCCTGCAGGCGAAACAACGACTCGGACTACAGTGATGGAGAGGAGGACTTTTACTACTCAGAGATCGAGGTCAACATGGACAGCCTAACAGAGGGCTTGTCCAGCCTCACACCCACCTCCCCTACCACGGCAGGTCCTCCGCCTGTCTTCCCCCCGCCACTCACCGATGTTCCTCACTCCGATCACATCAATATGAACGGTTCGCAGAGCCACGCCCCGACGCTGCTCAGTCAGTCAGCTCCCTCCACGCTCTGCCACATCCGCACTGACCATGCCTACCAGGTAATTCCCACATGCCACAAGACAGACTTTGAACACACACACAAGCATACAAACACCTACATTACTGAATTTAATCTCTGAAAATAAGACAAAACATTAAGCAGTTGGTATGCTACCAAGTCACAAAGTTTCAGATCTCTGTCATATAGAATCTGCAGAGGCAGTGTTTTGAGATCAGTGTGGGAAAAAAAAGCTCTGGCCTCAGGGTGAATTACTTAACTCCTACAGCAGTGTGGGAGTATATATCAGGGAGAGTAATGAAACAAAAATTCTTGCAGATATTAACATTAGGTTCTAGTTCACATGAAGAGTGAAGTCAGACTATTTTTTTAAGTCAGAAAGGTTTTAGCCATGCGATTTAATTATGCTTACATTCCTGCTCGTAACACTTTATTTGAATTGCTTTGTAGCAACTTTGGGTATCTGTGCCGCCGCCCTCTTCTTCTTCTCTGTGTCCTCCTTCTTCTTTCTCTTCCTCAAACTATACAAATCCACATGCACTCCTCACTTATGTGCCCTTGGAGGTAAAATGAAATGGTTTCAGATGGAAGAACACATTTTGTTAAAAGTATAAATCTTTAAAATATTCAATATTGAACTCAGTCCTTCGCAGCGGTTCGAGGTGGTATTGAACTTTCAGTTGCCATGACAACACTAAATGCACGTAAAAATAGGCACAGTATGCATACGCAGTGAAACTACAATGACTATTTCTTGTGTCATTTTCTCTGTGCTGCACTGTATTCCTACTCTTCTATTCATGCTGCTAACTTCATGCTCTCTCTGCTATTCTGTATGCTGTTATGTGCTTCCAGTATTGTTTAACTATAATCGGATAACTTTTGAATTTTCTGTACATAAATTAAAAAAAGATTTGTGGTGTTCTTGGTCAGAGTTGATTTTGAGGCACATTTCAGATGTAGAGGTGGAGAAAAGCCGTACCTTATATGATTTTTTTCCCCCTCTGTATTCTCGTCCCCTCTTTTGCTATCTGCACTTTCCCTGTCCCTTCTCCTTTCTGTCGTGTCCTCTCCTGACTATGCCGGGTTGGTGGTTGTCCATGTTCCAGGCCACTGCTCCAGTGAGTATCCCAGCGGGTCCTGAGCTGGCTGGGTTAGGCAATGGTAATGGCACCGGGCCTGGAATTGGGACTGGGAATGGCATCAGTGTGTCGTGGCAGTCCCCTCCTGTCATTTTCAAAGGCGTCCCGGTGAGTGAGGCTTTGTCTCACGCCTTTTTATCTTAATCGTAACTTCTCTCCTGCTGTTTCCGCTTGTTGCCATTTTTTTTGGTAGTTTTTTTGTCACTCTATAGTTTTTCACTCTCCCTGCTTCTTAATACCATCATCTTTTTATATACAGAGGCATTTCTTTGTTTGGCACAATTCATCCAAATATGTCATTCAAAAGGTTTAACACTGAGTCAAGATAAAGAACGTTAAATATTTAGCAAACACTATGTTGTATATGTCTTATGGCTATTTATAAAACCTTTATGCAATTTAATGTAAAAGACGTTTAAAAAAAAAAAAAAGGTAAAAGATTAAAATCACACTATAACAATAGTACAAAAAAAAAAAAACAGTGCTTCTAGTAGGCTGTTATAAGTGGCTGAAGGCAGCATTGCCATGAATCAGTGTCCTGGCTCGTGGGACAGCCAGGAGACAGTCAGAGGACCTGAGGGATCTAGGGGGCACAGACTGAATCTTAAAAGCACATCAGAGGTCCTTAGGCACAGAATTGCTTCAAGATTTACAAACCAATAAAATTATCTTAAAATCAATAATAAAACTGACATGCAGGGACACAAAAAACATATGTAATGTGAGCTCCACCTGGTTGTAGTTGAAAAATTTTATACAAATTGATTTTGAACTGTGGCTTATTTTGGCAGACCAGAAAGGATTGTGTCGAGGTAGTGCAGCCAGCGAGTGAGGAAATGTGCAGACTGATCTCTCAACATTTGCCTTAGCAGTGTGAGCAGCAACTCTCTTGTAATACTTTAAAGTGTAATAAAACAGCCTTATGTAGGCATACAAATTGAGATTATGGCCCAGGATGACACCAATTGCAGGTATTTTAGCTGGAGTCCACTACAGTAACGAGTTCCTATGTTTTGTCACGGTTCTGTTGCACAAAACTTTTAAGCCATACATGTGCTAGCGTCTGAAACACAGATACAGAGTATTAATGCAGCTTTTGCAGAAATGCAAAACTGGATGTCGTCTGTGTAATAGTGATAACATATCTGTCTCCTGATGACATCGGACGCTTATAGAAGTTGCACAGTACAGCTGTGGTTCCACAAGGTGAAATTGTGGCTCTTATTAATCAAAGGCAATACAGAATGTTCTGCCAGTACGGTACCGTAGGAATAACAGCAGTGACTAAGGCCAACTTACTTTCAAAGTCTGTCTAAAAGAATAAAATGTTCAGCAGTGTTTAGCTGCAGTGAGACTGGGAAGAACAAGACCACATTGATCCTTAACTTGTTAAGTCTCTGTTCTGTGAATCCCTCGGGCACAGTCACATCACTGGTCTCACCGCTCTGAAACAGCTGTGCCAATCACAGTGACGCATGACGACAGTGGCTCAACAAATGAAGAGTCGACCTCACCAGGAAATCATGTTGTTGTCTGGATGGTGAATAGCTGCACGATGGAAACACAATGCACCACAGATCTGCAGCCAGATAGTGCACTCTTTTAATTCACTTTGATCAGTACGATCACAAAACAAGCAAATAATAAAAAATAATTTGTTAAAGAAGTTATATGATCGCGTCATAATTCTATCTGTATTTGACATAAATAGTTACAACATATCTTAAAATGTGACACAGCACTTTTTTTTTTTTTTTTATTGGAAAAGATGCAGTGACTCACAGGATCAATGAGCTCCAGTATTCTGATGTCTCTTGTATAAACGGGCAGAATACCATAACTGACCGGTCTGATGTATGTAGAGCTGTGTGCAGTTATTTTGTAGCAGCCTGCTGTCATGTGCAAATGACTTAATTGAAGGTAAACGGGTTTAATACAGTATAACGCAGAATCACTCATTAATTTATAGATGAATGCAGACAATCCTTCTTTAACCACATTAAATGGTATTTTTTAGTTTATATGCTCATACTAGTTAGTTAGAAATGAAAAAGTTATAATATAACTTTTTTTTTTACTTCATTCTGATAGGGACAGAGTTAGGTTGTATCTTTTTGTATATCTGTCATTGTCATGTAGAATATAATATTGAGTTGAGCCACATTGTATTAGTATAATATTAAACAATGTACTTATAATGTCTTTCCACTTTTGCAGGGGCCTGTGACTCATGTCCGGACAGTTAGCATTGGTGAAAAGCGGCAGCCAGCAGTCAGCACACACACCGCTGTTAACAAGAACCATGCTTTAATAACACCGGCACCTAAATCAACACCAGGAACCAGGTACGCAGCAGTGTGTGTCTCTGTGATTGTGTTAAGAGTGTTCCATTAATTTGGGTAGATCAAGAAAGTAGGGGTAGTTTTGCTCCATTTATCTCTTGTGATTCACAATTATGGGACTGGGTTTAAGATAAAACACATTACCTTCCTTTGTCTTTCTTTCTTTATTCTTCTATGTTCCTTTGTCCTCCACATCACAGTCGCTTGAAATGAGCTGCTTTCTCTTTGTGACTATGGCTGTAGTTTGAGTGGAGTTCATGCAAATTAGAAGCATTTACTGCAATGAATTGTAAGTGGTCTGGGGCTGCAACAATTGCTAATGCCAAACATTTACTCTCGCTTCTCAAATGTGAAAATTGGCTACTTTCCTTGGTTCTAAATGATAGTAAATAGAATATCTTTGCATTTTGGACTATTGGTCGGACAAAAGAATTCATTTCCAAATGTCAGTTTGGGCTTTGTGAATTTGTATGGTGCATTTTTAACCGGTATTCTGAGAATGAAAATAATCAGTAGTTGCAGCCTTAAAGGGGTCACGCTTTCAAATTAGTTAGAGGCTATCAAATTTTGTCACTGTGGTTTGTCAATGTTAACAAATGTCAAGTGGCTGATACATTTTTACTGCATAAAATACATTTACTACACAGATGCCCTAATACTTTAATTAATAATAATATCAGTTATTACACTTCTAGCAGTGTGTTAATAATAATAGTAGTAGTTGATGTTAATAGTTGATGGAAAGTAAAATAAGGACATGGAGACGCTTATGTAAATGGTCTGTACTTGTATATCACCTTTCTAGTCTTTCCAACCACTCAAAGCGCTTTTCCACTTCATCAAACTCACACCGTGGCAGAGGCTAAGTGGCTCTGCCATCAGAAACAGAAAAACACATTCACAACAATTTGGGGTTCAGTATCTTGCCCAAGGAAACTTCAGTATGCAGATTGGGGGAGCCTGGAATCGAACAACTGACCTTCTGATAAGTGGACAACCACTCTGCGCCTTGAGCCACAGCCACCTCAATTTACATCATGCTAATGTTGAAACGACCCATAGCAAGGACACCGTTCACTGCCAACACCTTGAGTTGCTCTTTATGGTGCTGAATCATATCACATCAAATATCAGATCAAATATAAAAGAACAATTGCAGTTGCATCAAATCATTAACCTCATTAACGATGGCTTCCTCATGTGGAACATTTATATTGACTTGTTCTTGTGTGTTTCTATGTGTATGTGTTCTTGACCCTTCCCTTATAATGCGCAGGTACACATTTATGTGTCTTCGAGCGCATTGCACATATGTGTTTTTATGCCCATGTGGGCGTCTGCATGTCTGTGTGCATGTCCTTAATGCTGTCACATCTGCTGTTACCAAGGAAACCCCGTGGAGAGGCGAAGAAGTGCCGAAAGGTGTACGGCATGGAGAAGAGAGACATGTGGTGCACAGCCTGTCGCTGGAAAAAAGCCTGCCAGAGATTCACCGACTAATCCGGTCCCCTTCCCGCGTCTGTGAGATGGGCTCTTCTTCACTTGGAGTGACAGCTAGGTGGACTCTTCCACTGAGGAGTTACCGGGGGAGATTTCTTCACGATTGGAGCTCTCAGTGCTGCTTCCCCGAGCCCAGCAGGGGGTCCGCCTTCTCTCTTTTCCGTTTCCAAACACAACAAGAAAATAAAACTGGTGCGTAAAAAAAACAAAAAACAAACAAAAAGCAAAAAAAATATCAGCAAGAAAAAATAACTTTATGCAGGTTTGGAGACTTTTTCTAAGACTGAAACTTTTTCACTCTGTTGATGAATGAGGAAAAAAGAAAAATTTAAATTGGATTCCCAGCCTTCTGATTTCTTTTTTTTGTTTTTCACTTTTTTTGCAGCCTCAACTCAAGGCTAAGTTTAAAGACTACAGATAAGCTTTTTTGGTATACTCTGTTGTTCATTATAGGATCATCATGTAATTTACTGTTTATGGGGTGGATCATGACTCTTTCCGGAGGTTCAAGGGTTAACACCAGATTCGTTCGGTGAGACCTGTAGCATATCCATTTTTCATTGTCACTGTTTAAGGGACTTCAAACCTACCAAAGGCATACAGGCCTGTTCACTTACAACCAACAGTTTAGGTGTAAGCTCAATCCTGAACCTAGCATCACTGTCTTCTGCAGCCTTACAGGATACTGACTGTATGTTTTCTACATATTGTTCAGTATCCACACCCGTTCATTAAGCAAATTCAGCAGAACCAGATATACTTCTTGTATTTTTGCAAAGATGCACAAAACCCTCACAAAAAGTGGTACAAAATGTTTCCTTTTGACTTTCCAAAATATTTTTGAGATGTACACTATATATGAAAATTATTTCCCTCTCTTCTTCTCTCTAGTTAGAGATATGCACCTTGAAGAAATAAGTTGTCTTTGTATCACTGTAACCACAGCGCATGCCTGAGAGCCTGAGAGAGTGGATATCTATTTCTTATATAGAGTTTATTTTCAGCAGTGACTTGCTGAAGCAACTAGCAGTTGCACTGTGCAATCAGCAGAATTAGAGCATTTATTATGGTCTTTCTTGCTTTGTGGTTGTCATTGTTATTAACGTAAAGTTGAGGCTCAGTTTTTTTTTCTTTGACAGCTGATGTTCTTGAAGATTGTTTACCACAAGAAGTGATAACTGCCCTTTGAAACTTAAACTTACTGTCTGACTGATGTATGTGCATGTAAGTGAATAACATAGAGATTGTAACCAAACAATCACTGCCTGATACTAAGTCAGGTAGTCTAATACATTTCTAACAGTTTTAAACGGAGAGGTTACCTAATCTTTATTCTTTTGGAATAACTATCATTAACCAGCATTGCAACATTTGTAGATACCAGACCTAACTTCAAAGGAACATGTTCCTATTATTTTGGTAGATGTTGTGGTTAACCCTTAGGATTTACTGGGGTCCAACATTTGAAAATGAAAAGTGAGCAACAAATCAAGTCAGTGGAGAGTAGCGGCGTAGGTGGTTGACTTAAAACTGATTGATATGGAAGTGGAGCTAAAGTTTAAAAATGTTTTACCAAAGGGGATTTTTCTACTCTTTTTAAGAATAGGCCTGTAATACTAAATGGCGGGCCTGCTTTTCCAAGCTTTAGATGAAATATAGGTGGTAGCTTGTTTTTAGATAGTGGGACAGTTTTTGATATATCCCTTTCATCTGTATTGTTTTAAAAAAACTAATACATTTTCAGCAATATTGGCCAATCCACGTTAAAAGCACCCTTTTAATTTGAATGCAAGAAATGCAGCTCAAAGTGGTTTACATAAAAATTACACGCACCAAGTGCTTCACGTAAAAAAGACACCCAGATAGATTGCCATAATCATTTTAATATAAGATGGAGAATTTTAAAGCAGGAATACAAAACAGGAAACAGTCCTGTTTTGTATTTCTATTAATTATCCAAGACAAAATGCAAGGACAGTGGTCACTTGACAAGCATATGATCTTTCAAAGATCATTCTGGATTTTTATTATTATTAAAAATTAATTTAATTTGTCATTCCTACAAAAGACAAATTAAATAAGTCACCTAGTTATTCTTTGAAGGTTACCAGCCTAAAATTGTACACCTGCAGGGCCAGGTTTATTTGTAATTGGGCAACTTAGTGATGATCTCTGATGCAATCAGAGATTGTTAGAAGAGTCGCTCTTCTGACCCCGCTCATCAGGAACTAGCCATAGGTCGACTCAGTAAATTTGTAGATTTAAAGGGCCGTGATAAAAGATGATACTGACTTTTAAAGATGATAACCTGTCTCCCATAAAGCTTGGTCAAGTTAATTTATTTAATTACACAGCCCCAAAATCACACATTAGCCTCAAAATGCTTCACCATCTCTACAACATGTGACAACCTCAGACCCTCAGTTTGGATAAGGAAAAAACTAACTAACAAGCTCTCAGGCGGAGGTATTACGGTGCATATGTATTTTTAAAGAGATTAACCCCCGTGCTGTTCTTCAGCAGCTTTTTGAATGTAAATTCTGCCGTGTGCTCTCTGCTCTCTAAGCACTCCTGACCTGACCTGATCCCCATAGGAACGTACAACAAACACGCTCACACAAACACAGTGCCTTTCCTCTCCTATACAAGCATGCCGTCAAGCATTCAAGCGGGCTGCCTGACTGAGGTTCAGTAAGACTTCCGACCTCTGTCGCCATAGAAACACCTGGGCTGTCCCCTGCCGCCACAGGGTCACTCGTGCCGTCTGCTCTATGCTGATACCACGTTAAAGTGGGCCGGTTATCACTTCTCGATGAATGCTGGGAAGCAGATCCTTGACTGTTAATTGGTGGCTTGAAGTCAGTTGGCAGAAGCATATTAAGCATACGTGTTAGCCATAATAGTAGTTAATAATCTCATTCCGTTCCCGTTCTAAAAATCTGTTTTGTGTTTAAAAAAAAAAAAAAAGAATGATCCTGCCTGTAAGTTGTTTATTCCAGTGGCATCCCAGATAAGCTAGAGGTCTCCCTCTCTCTCTCTCTCAGCTTGTGAGAGCAGCCTCTCTTCAGGCCTCTTTGGGTCAGAAACTTCACAAAGTGCCAATAAAAAGAACATAAAAAAAGAAAAGGTATACCGACCTAATGAAATTGCACTACGTTGCACTGCGTCAAGACATGTTTTTATACATGGACATTTTATATACACAAATTTTGAAGTGAAAGGATTTTCTTTTTTCCGAGCGGGTGGGAGGGGTGTCGTCACTGCCCGATGGACTAAATGGGGTGTCAGGGATAGGGGTTCTGTACCTCTGGGGTCCCCCATTATTAGCAAGTGATCTTGACTTTGTAATGTCTTGCTCTCTGTGTCAGATTTATTGTACTAAACATAGTGGTGCTGGCTGTTTCAGAAGTGTGGTACTGAGAAGTACAGTGTGGTACTTAGGTAGTTATTTACTTTGCCTTTCCTTGGAGTGCCGAGGGCCGAAAGCAGCACCTGCCCTGTCTCAGTGATGGGAAAACACCAGTTTCAGTCAGTGGCTGTACGTTATAACAGATGCTTTTACAGTGTTTTATTGCCTGGAGTTTTTTTTTTCTCACAATACTCACACATTTTATCCATAAAGCTCTTCTTTGTGCTTCCATTACTTAAAAACAGGTTTCTTCTTATTAACATTTAACTGAGCTAAGGTAGAAGCTGTGTAGATACTGTTATTAGTGCTGGATACCACTTTTAATTCTGTTATCTCTGGGTTTTTTGGTCATTGATGGAGTGTCAAATGTGACCCATCAGATCTCTCTCCACCCTCAGTGTAAGCACTTTTAGATTCCACCAGCAGGGTTAGAGGCTGATGCTTGTGCTGGCAGTGGATGGTACTGCTAGCATGTGTTAAGCTAACAGGTTTCTGCGGTTGCCCGCCACTATTCCACCTTTATTTCTTTTATTTTTTTTGCACTAAAGTGGCCCGTGGCGATCAAGGCCCGAGATGTATCATTAAGAGCTTGGGTCATTGAGTGTGGTTTGTGTCGTTATGGCCAGAAAGAACTGAGGGTACAAAATTGCTGTTGTGCTCAGATCTTAGACAAAAGAACTTTACTGGGTGATAATTTTTGCAAAATAGATCTACAGTCTCAACAACTTTCACCTAGAAAACGAGGGATGGAGATTGAAGTTGACTGTTAATGAGTGTGCGAGGAAACCGGAGTTATACAGCTGATGGAAAGCAGAAACAAGACACGCAGTGACGATATAGATGGATTTGCAGTTTCAGGGCTTTCTTGTACATATGCAACATAAAGAGAACTGCAAGGCTTTTTTATGTATTGTTGTTTTCTTTGTTGTCGTATCTTGTTATATGAAAAGTAAAAGTTTTTTTTACAGTATAGTTGCTCAGAATATTTTCTTTCTTGTTTTTTTTAAAGTCGATTGAGAAGCTATAGTGAGCATTAAACATAAAGATTCAATATATATTGTAGCTTAGAGGCAAAGGGGAGAAAAACAAAACATGTTGAATGTAAAACCTAAAAAAAGTCTTTTCTTTTTTGTTGTATTTGATGGCTAGTTTGTATTGCCTGTAGTGAACCGTGTCCTGACTTCGGTATCCAAATCTTTTAACACCCACAGACAGCTGTCGCCACACTGCTATGTCATATCAAATAACACAACCATGCAGTATTGCTTTACCATCTTACTTTGTGCAATGAGATGCTTTGTAATGGAACGAGAATTAAGCTTTCAGTGACATCTGGGCTACTCGTGCACACTGTTCGTCTTTTTGTCTTTCTCCCTGCCAAATCGTAATCTTTCTGAATATGTGTGGTTGTCGTGGTTGCTTGTGGTTGTGACGTTAAGTTGTTGTTAGGCAGGATAACCCTTCGACCTTTGGTCATGATGAATCTTTATCCTGCCCTGCACATTCCAACAGACAGCACGCTTTTAGTGTCTTCCACGTGTTTCCTAATAGACATATCCTTCCCCTTTCCTTTTTTCACTACAGTGATTCTTCTCTGATCACCCGTTCCTTTTTCATTTCCTGTCCTTGTGCTATCCAGCTTTACTGTGGTCCCACCCAAGCCTTTACCCAGTATATTAAGCTAAAGTAAAACCCTTAAAATGTGCATAAAAAAAGCCTTCGTTTTTTTCTCCACACTTCAAAATGTATGTTATGTGCTCCTTTCTTGAATGTCAGTTTTTATTTGTGTGTAAACCAGCAGCAGCAAAGCCAATAGATCTCCTTCCAAATCAAATCAAATGTAATGTAATGCATTGCAATGGCAGCTCCACTCAATTCTCTGCTTCTTCTACCGCGCTGTTATTGTTTGTCCAGGCCCTTATGCTCTGTCTGTCAGATCTCTCATTTGATGACCATTTATTTTTAGTTTTTACTGAGCCTGATACTGGCTGGTGTGAAAACTGACTTTTGCTTTCTTTTTTGTTTTCTCATTGACTGATTGATTGATTGTCTGGTTGAGTTTGAGGTTGTTTTGCATGTCCAGCATTGCTCTTTTCCCCTGTTTTTTTTTGTTAGGAGATACAACACTGAAGGGTTTTATGTGTTAGATTTTCCCTTTCAGTAACTGATAACCCAAGGCGGATGTAAGTTTGTTTTCCTCTAAAAGCTCATTGCACGCACACACACACGCACACGCACACACACACACACACACACACACACACACACACACACACACACACACACACACACACAGCTAAATGCATTTTTAGATGAGGGTAAACCTGACGCCAGCCTTGGGTCTTCTACTGGAGGGCAAGATTTCTCCTGTGTGTGGGCTCGGCCTCTGGTCTTCATCAGCAGTCCCACGCACACGGAAGAAGCACTTTCTGAGGAGTGGTGCACTCAAGGAGTATTTGTGTGAATGTCAAGCCTATGACTAGTGCTTGAAAAGATGGATGACCATGTATGATGCTGATAATGTGATCTATGTGATGTAATGTGATGGAAAGAAAATAAATTTGAATGGAAGAAGTCTGCTGTGAGATTCTTTATTTATCTTTTATATGTCTGCAGGGGATGTTTTAATGGCAAATCTTCCAAAGAAAGCAAGGTGGCAATGTGAGATCGATGCAGAGAAGTCATTCCTTTGTGTCTTCTTTCTTTGACTTGTCTTTTCTGCCCCCTTTTGGACAGTTGGTGGTTATGACAACACTAGTCCCTTTAACCCTCCCAACAGGTGTAAAAAAGAAGGCAGAGCACACATTGGTCACTTCTTTACAGCAGCAATTTCAAAATTTATTGAGACTGATTGGTTTTTGCAAATAATAATCAAGCTAATTCTTCCACTAAACATGAAGTTAAAAAGAGGCTTGGCGGCCGGCAGGCTCTGCCCCAACATCAAAACAGGAGGCTCATGGTTGACTGTAAAAATGTTTTGTGATCAATACTATCAACCGAAAAATATCTGCACAAGAGCACTTAAATCTGCCCAAAACAAAACAGGTGTAAAAACAGGACAGGTTTTTTTGATTATTTAACACATTTTGTTACAAACACAGGTTTATGATAATCATCAATATAAAGTCAGTATCATATTGAACAGTATTCCCAATGAAAATAAACAAAACTCAAGCTTCAAGTGCGACCTTTTACAAATTAAAGACCCTCTGAAACTTGAGAAAATAAATAATATATAATAGCAATATAAATTCATATATATGAAGGTATACACACACATCACTCTTAGTAGAAGAACAAAATGTAAAGTAAAAAGCGCCAATTTTGAAATATAGTATAATATAGATATACCCATATCTATGGCTTCATGATTTGCACGTGTGAATCAAGCTATACAGGCTAAATGAGGATTGCAATTTGTACACGTCTAAGAATACCCATATTCATCTGCAATAGAGCAAATAGTTCCAGTTTTGCATCATGTGGAATGAGACAGTTGTGTGCAGATGCCGAAGACGTCGCTTTGGTATGACAAAATGAGCACAGGCATGCAGTTAAGACCACAGAATCAGGGCACAAAAGTTCATCAACACACAGTGGGAAGGAGAATCTCGTCGCCCATCACGATTTGTCTCTTTGAAGTTTTATCCTCAAAAACATTTTGCACTTCTAATCTGATCGGTCGCATTTTAGTAATCTCTATCCGTCGACACAAACACATCTCTCACAAGCACACAGGTGAAATGTCATTGAGGCACATATTGAGGGGTTGATGGCAGACGTTTTCCTGAAGTACAACCCAGTATGAGGGAGGACACATACAGTACAGGTCGTGAGAAGAGCGCAGGGGCCGGGGAGTCAGACATACATCCAGATGTCTCTCAGTGGGCTCATCGGCACCACAGGACAGAGATTTGTCACCGATCATGGGCTCCTTCCACACCCACCATTGACATTCATAAAAATCCTACCCCATTGTCTTTTGTCTTTTTTTCACCCAAAAAATTACAACTTTTTTGATAAATGGGTCAACAAAAACACAATAAATAACAGAAATAAAATAAAGACAGTTGCCAGACATGAAGAAAGCATCACAAATCGCATTGTACTCTTTCTCAGTGGGAGTTAATGGGATGTGCAGTCCATGGCACCTGTAGCAGAGAGGCCTGATGTGTGCAACCAGCACTGGCAACAAAATGTTTCCCAGAGTTACTGCTGCAGTGCTCACTTTCCCTTTATGTAAATGACCTAGAGTCAAGCCAGTAAAACACTGGCAGATAGAAATAGAGCATGTAGACTCAACACTCAGCTGTCTTAGATGAGTGTTCTGCCCGCATGCTGCATTTCTACTTGATTGTGTGTCATGCGAGGCATGAGGCAGTAGAAACTAGAAAAAAGAAAATCAGCTTGCTCTTAAAGATGCGGTCTTCTAAATCTAGCTGGTCCTTTCACACAGCCCTTCATATTCACAATAATACCATAAGATGTGCCCCCCCCCCCCCCGTGACAAATAGTGACAGGTTCCAAAAAATAAAAACAACCCAACAACAAATCTGTTAACCACAACAATAAATCCAAAAAGCACCTGCACACACACACTGAAACAAAAGCACTTCATGTATACAAGGTACTAGATTGTTTTTGGTTTGATATTAATCAATTAGTGTACATTAGTGATGCAAAAGCGTGTGCTGAATATATGTTTTAATCAATATCTAACAGAGAAGTTTGACAGTGAAATTGTTTTCCCCCTTGGTAAAAAAGCAAATACGACAGAAAAAGAGTAAACTGGCACAAGAAAAGGTTGATAAAAGCCCCATGGCTTGCTGTCCACAACAAGGCAAAGTATAAAAGCTTTTTTTTCTCATACAAGATATAAAATGTCAAAAAAAAAAGAAAACACAATAAAGCTTAGCATCCAGCACTTAATAATAATTAATAATAGTAACATCAACAACAGTAATCATAGTTCTGATAATCATAAGAAGAAGACACGTCATCTACCTCACTTGAATTGTCATTAACATAGAAATAATCTTAAGAAATCAAGATAGACTTTTTTTTGGGACACTGGACACTCAAACATTCTTGCATACAAACACCCATCCTGTTCCACCAACACAAAGAGGGGGGGGGGGGGACTTCTCAAAAATTAGGAATGCACAAACAGGTTTTTCAATAAATAGCTGTTAAAACAAATTAATATTACACTCTCTACGAATATCAAACTTGGAATTTCAAGCACAATTTTGATCCTCTTCTTTTCGCCGCACAAAGCCAGAGAAAACATATCACCAAAAAGAAAGATAAACCACGGAGATAGTCTGCATATTCTGTGTTGAGAAAATGGAATTACATGACTGACCAAGACAGAAACAGGGGACAAAAAGAAAAGAAATAAAGAACCGTTTTTAATTAAACAAATGGCAGCCCCTCCTTAAGTGTGAGAGACGTGGCTCTCAGGTCCTATCATCGCAACCTCCAGAGACAGCGAGAGAGAAAGAAAGAGTTTATAGTGTAGGTCATGTGGATCCACTGTTGGCAATTTGTGTTGATTTTCCAAACAGGGAAGCAGAAACTGGTGTCCACTTTGTGTATAAACCGCAAAAGTCTCTTTCAGTCTCTCTCTGTCTCACACTCACTCGACTCCCCTTGTAAATTCAAAAAATCGTATGTACATTAGTCAAATCTCCAGTATTTGTTGGAATGGATTGATAGAAACTGTGTGGTAAACTTAAGTGAAGAAAAGATTAAGGACCCCACTGAAAGGCATAGGCTATATAAACAGCAATCTGCACAAAGATTCAGTGATTTCTATATCGTGATAACAGTCAAGAGGACATAAAGTATATCCTTAAAGGTAGGTGCGGTCACCGAGTTGTTTAGGTAAGTAAAGATCAGATCAAAAATGTAAACCACGGGTTCAGGGCTTTGATAGGAGTCAGTTGTCATTAAAGTGCAAGTCTGTGGCAGTAGGACTCTGCATCAACAATGTGCCTTTGGGCTGCCGGCTCCTCTGACACACGTAGCTTTGCAATAGATTTAGACTCGTAGAGAGACACTTTCCCCAGAAACATTGCAGCCGAGGTGGGACCAAGACACCCTACCCTCCCCTCCCGGCTATTTCCCTACACTGTCTGTGATCCTTGGTTTCCATGGTGATTGTGATGGCAAACATACAAAGTTGCAGTCTAGCGTTGGCCATGTCCTTGGCAGCGTCCTCGTTGATTCCTGTTGTGACAGAGTAGAAAACTACTGGACTCTGGCCTGAACCCTCAAGAAAAAGAAAAACAAAAAACACTGCATCAGAAGTAAAGGAGGTAAGCAGAAAAAGCCTTGCACTTGAGCCATCTCTTGACCACTCTTCTTCTACTATGGCAGTCAAGGTTGAGAATAGCCTAAGTGTGTCTGTGTGTTTGTGTTTGCGTATGTACGTGCATTTGAGTGTGTTACTCATAATGGTTTTAGATCATTGTCGCGCATCACCCTACAGCATTTCCATTCAAAGGAAGGCCTGCCCACGGTGGGACGAATGGGTAAATAGAGCAGAGGATTCTGCCCGAGAGATCATCGCAAGAGATCTTCAGAGATTGGTTGACGAGCCACTAGCGGGAGCCTGACAGGTTCTAGGAGATCCAGGCGAAGTCCCTCTCCTCACTCCCGTTCTGCTGCTCCCCCTCCTGTGCCGAGGAGTCACTTTCCTCCTTTTCATTGTCCAGTGCTCCATGTGCCTCGGTGGCCATCCCCGAGTCCTTCCACTTCCCTCCTTCCTCCTCCCCTTCTCCCATCATCTCCCCGTCCCCTTCGACCATCATCTCCTCCTCCCCGTCTCCGTCACCATCGCACTCCGCCTGGTCATCATGGAAACGATCGCCAGGATACAGCTCCTCCTCTGGAGAGATGTCTCCTCCCACCTCCCCGTTGTGGTCCAGCAGCGCCGCCATGCCCCGGCCAGAGCAGTCGGCACAGACACCATGACGACGTGAGCCGTGTTTGATTCCTACGCTGGCTGCTGACATGAAGACCCGGCTGCACACTTTACACACATACTTCTTGTCTTTGCTGTGGACCTGTTGGACGGAAACAAATCATTTTCACATTTTAATTTACGGCAATGATATAACGTCATGTTTTATACTTCCAGTGAATATAATCCAATTAATCTTATTTCCTGCCATATAGAGCCTAAGTCCCTCGCTTCGGGAAAAATATGTACAGTAGTCAATGGCGACAGACAACTTATTTTTTTATCCTGGTTGAACTGTGCCCTGAATTACACATATGGTGTTTGTCAATTTAAAAGATAATTTAGTCCAGTTTTACATCAAACTGCGACTTTCATTACTTTTAAATTCACCATCATCATATGTGTAATTTGGAGCACAATTCAAACGGGATTAAAAAATTAGTTGTCTCTTGCCATTGACTTGACATATTTTTTCCAAAGTAAGGTCCCATGGCGGTCTACCGGAAGGGGAGAGACTTAGGCTCTCAATACATTGTGTTAACACCTTATTTTGAAAATGTGTATCCTTGAGTCCGATGCAATTTGATAAATTATATTGTATGTGGTTTTCGTATCGCGTACAATGAAGACTTCATAGCCTCTCTTCAGGTAAGATTCTCATACTGCAGCACTTGTCTTTGTAAGGAGAGAAAATGACAGAAGAAAGTCGCTTAACCCTGCATCTCAGCTTGCTCTGCTCTGTGTCAGTGGAGTTACCATAAAGACTTGAATACTCGTGCACCCCAATTTAGGCTAGCTTAATCACGTTTCACAAACGAGTGACAGTGGATACACTCCAAGCTGTTCAAGCAAAACACAACGTTAGAGGTCTTTAATGTTATTATGAAAAGTGTAAAAATATTTTCAGTTCATTTTGAAACTATGGCGGAACAAAGTAGACTGTGGCAGCTGCCATAGTCTTGTTGATTAATGGGAAAACCTGGTCTGATTTACTGCCCCCTAATGGTGATCGTATAGCTGCACTCACCAGTGTGTGCCTCTTCATGTGCTCCCTTCTGGTGAACTTCTTGCCACAGATTTCACAGGGGTAGGGCCTCTCACCGGTGTGGGAGCGCATGTGCCTCTTTAGGATGCACTGGTGCATAGCAGAGAAACTGCAGTAGGGGCACTTGAACTTTTTCCGGATGACCGTGAAGTCATTCACTGTGGAGAGAAGGAAGGAGGGGAGGGACGGTGGGGAGAGAAAAAAGGAGAAGAGGGAAAAAAAATTAGTGTTGAATGAAGCTCGTTTAAACAAACCGAGACGTCACTTTTCAGTTATTACATTTAATTAGCGGCAAGGTCTAGAAATGTACCATCAATTCCCATGGCCACCCCAATCCCAGTCAAAGCTACAGTTGCCCTGGCAACAGCTCTTCCTCCATACTAAAGCAATAAAGGCAAAGAGATACTATAAACACAACACAACAGTCAGTCTGCCTTAGTTGCTCTAGAAGGTCTCTGATATGGACAGCAAAAAACACAGACAGACAAACAAAGACAATGACAAGTAGGTTTGGAAATAAAATCACACACACAAAGGGAGGCTTCAGCAAAAAATAAATAAAACCAACAAAAACTACTGATAATACCATGTCCCAATCTTCTGGAGAGGTCTGGTAAGCCAATTATCTCAAGGTCTAGACTTAAATAGTAGTTAAGCCAGGTGAAGGGCATCCAAGTAAACAGATGCTGTGTGTGTGTGTGTGTGTGTGTGTGTGTGTGTGTGTGTGTGTGTGAGATGTGCAAATGTGTGCGCAACTTTACAGTCAAGGCATATAGTACATCGTAAGATCGTAAGAGATCAGTACACAAGCACAACACACACTAATGCAAATACAGGAGAGGGGGGGTGGGGGGTTCAAACACAACAGTTCAGGGTTATATGCTTTAAGTGATACAATATAATTACCTCCAAATCGACTTCTGCTCTGATTAAACATTCGACAGCACAAAAACATGCAAGCACACATCAACTGCACAACAAGATTTGAGTATCCTATTCACATTTTTGAAGGGTGGCAAGTTAGAATGCAAAGACAAAGACAGGGATTTTGTGATTGTGTGAATGTGCGCCTGACACACATACACACTCACATAAAACGACAAAAACTACAGAGAAGTTTTCCCATTTTCCCATCACAGTTTAATTACAACTACAAGCAGAATATCATCCTGTTTAGAAAAGCACATACAGTACAGTACATGGGGTTTTGTCAGTGAGAAAATTCATAATCTAGAATAGGATATCTTTCAATATTTACAACAACACACAACAGCAGCACAGTATTTGCCATTTCCCCTCAATGGCTAGCTCTGCCGAGTTCCTGATTAGTTCCTGACTTCTCTGAGCCTGCCAGTCTGTTTCAGCTGCTGGCAGGGACAGAGTGTGCTACCTGAGAAATGGAATTTTGTATTAGAAGGGATTTGGCATTCGGGAGTTCCCTGTGTATACACAACAGCAAGGGGATATATTCCCAATCGTTCCCTAGTTCTGCTTTTACTGAGCACACAGAAATCACAGTTCAGTGTGTTGGGAGGGGCCATGGAATATTAGAGGAAACACAGGTGGTTGTCTTCCCTTTGGGTGTAGTATTCACAGTATGGGTGTACACAATAAACTTTAATACCAGAGCTGTGTCAAGAAAATATCTTGGTTTCTAGTCATAGGGTAAAGGCCTGCTGTAAACTCAAGGGAGAAAATGTTGGCAGAAATGGGTGTGAATTTACATTAGCAATGATTTTGAAGCCAGTGTTCATTCTGATTCCAATATCCTGCGGCTCTGCAACACCCTCCGCCTCACTCTGCCTTCGCAATCTCCCTTTTTCCTCTCCTGCGTTTCCCATTTGTCTCCCTTGATCCTCCATTTTCTACCCTGTGCTCACAACCACACCATCATCTGTCTGTAGCGGTGACATCACTAAGCTCAAAAAGGGCATCTGCCCCTTGGTCCCCACTTCCTCTTCAGATGAAGGGTCAGGGGTTAAGAAGGGCCGGAGCCATGAAGGACCAATTACTGTCCAACTCTAGCCACACTGAGCCACTCAAAGACTTACAGATCTGGGACTAAGGACATGGACAGAGGGAGAGAGAGAGAGAAAATGACACCACCCAACCCCCATCTGAGCTGCTACTGGGCTATTGTTTTAGCTAGCTTTGTCTTGTTTGGCACATCCCCTCCATCTGCACAGATCTGACAGCACTGACTGTAGGTAATCATGTCAGACTGATGACTGAGGACAAGCTTCTACGTGTCCAGTGGAGGTGGAACTGATATAATGACTTTGTTTTTCTTTTTTCATTGAGTTCAATGTTTTTTTTATTTTTATATTCCATTAAGTTTTATGCAAATTTTTAATATCAATAATTAATAGGGGCACTACCACTGGCAACAGATACAGTTTCCTTTGGATCGTTATTCTGCTCTCATGCTGCAATTCTGCAAAGTTCCTGCAGGTGGTGTGGTTGTGTGTGCTGTGAGCCACAGTAATGCCTGGCAGATATGAACTGTGTCTGAGTGTCTTTGTGCCCCTAATGCAGTGGTGGACACAAAGATAAAGATCTCTCTGCCTAAAAAGGAGAGAAGAGTTTAGTCAGACTGGTGACTGGCGACAGAGAACCAGACAAGTGGTTTAGGTCTGGGAGGTGGAAATACGCCCTCCCGTCTCTCCACCTGGCATCGCAATGGAAAGTAGTACACCTGGTTAGGGTTCCAATCAATGCACACTCAAACTATTCACAAACCTAAAGATAATTTAAAAAACAGATCTACATATAAGTTCAGTCAGTTGTTTAAACAGATTAGCTTTGCATAGTAATTGTGCATTATTGACATGTAAGCTGTCAATTCATGGTTAACCTGTTTAAAAATAATATAAAAGCATTAAAATTTGACCAGTTGTAAAAAAAAAAGTGTCCATTTAAAATCACGTCAACAAACATTTAATTGTAAAAGGAATTCTTCCCTCTAAACCCAGTCTCAATTTTCCACATTGATACTGAGATTATGATTGTCAACTTTCATCTCTTGAGAAAGCCACCACAGTGAATCTATCCCCCCACCCTGAGACGCTTCCATCCCAGTGCTGCCTCCCAGTATAGGTCCTGGCATTGACCCCACCTGGCAGCACACTTTAACATGTGTCGCCAGGTTTTTCTGGGTGCTAAAAGCCTTGGCACAGGCAGGGCAGACATGCCCTCTCTCTTTGGAGTGCACGGAGGACAGGTGTCTGTGCAGGTCTGTGCGGTCTCGGAAGTGTTTCAGACAATACACACACTGCATCAGCTTCTTCTTGAGGTGAACGGTCTTCTCGTGTCGGTCTGCATTGGATTTGAGGGTGAAGCTGGCGGGGCAATGGGAGCAGAGGTAGCGGCCCGGCGTAGGCTCGGCCAACGCAGGGCGGTAGAGAGACCGTTGGAAGAGAGGCTGGGATTGTGACTGGTGATGGGGCTGGGTAGGTTGGTGGGGCAGACTCTGCAAGCTTGGCCAGTCCAGGGACAAGGCCATCAGAGATAGGGTGTGGCAGTACTCGTGTTGCCTGAGATGCTCCAGGCTGCTGAACAGCCGTTTGCACAGGGAGCAGGCGAACCCCTGTGAGGGCCAGGCACCGGACTCCGGCAGGTCTCTTTTCCCTGACCCAGCATCTTGGCCCACCACCATCAGCCCTTTAGTCCCTCTGCCAGCCACGGACACTGACACAGGCACAGTCAAGCCACCAGCATAGCTCTCCTCTCCCATCTGATCCCTCTCGACAGGAGACTGGTCACCTTCCAAAACTGAGATAGCGAGAAGGAGAGTGAGAGTGAAAGTGAGAGAAATAGAGGAAGAACAAAAGGTACAAACTCTCTCTGAAGTTTTCTAGGCACGACTCCTTTAAAGCCTAAAACCATACCTGGGCTGTATTCCTTCACGTCTTCTTTGTCTTTTACCCCCTCCTGTAGGCACAAAACATCCCATTATGTCACACACACATGCACATTTATACAGCGTGTATGGAATGTTGTCTGGGCATGCAGGAGGCAGGCAGGTGAGACAAGCTGTGAAGACTACCTGTTTTTTAATCACACATGTGAGAAACAGAGAAACAAAAACATGCAAACAGAAAAGGAAAAAAAATGAGGGAAGAGAAATGACAGATCAGAATGATTTAAAGACACAGATAAATTGTTAAAGATAAGCAGGCAAAAACAGAAAAACTCTTGTAAATAGCTGACGGTTCCTGGATGCTAGGGCGGTCCTATGACACTTAGAATGAGCAGTTAGGTTGATCTACAGTATTCACAATATGATATGCACCTGTCCCCTCTCTTTCCTGTCAACCTAACTCTAGTCTTCCCTCCATCTACTCCATGCTCCTGCCATTCCTCCACCCCCCCTACCCATTTCCTCGGCCCCTACACTCCACCTCCTCCTCCTCCTCCTCCTCTCTAAGAACAGAACACCATGCACTGGGCAAACAGATGGCTTGTCCGTAGAGATAGGGAGGCTTGTTGGGAGGCAGGTCCGCTGAAATCAAATGCTGCTCCTAAATGCTCACCCGCACACACGGTGTACTCACGCAGACTGGCACAAAACTCACATCCACACATGCTCACACACACACGCCCACACACACACACACAGACACACACAAACTGAACAGAACAAACAATTTCCTGGGCTGCGAGAGCAAACCTCTCATTGTCTACTTGTATTGATTCTACTCTAGTCTCATCTCACTACCTTCCCCGTTATCTGCCATCTCTAAGCACGCGCTGCCTTTGTGACTAGATGTGTCATCTCTAAAGTGACCACTATAAAATACATTACCGCTATTGCTGAGCAAAGACTCTTGGTTTGGGCGGTGAATTTTGGGTCTAGCTATATTAAAAAAGATTATATGAAAAGGGAGACAAGAGTGAAGAACTGGAAATCTGAAAGGAAGAGAGCACAAACAAAGCACACAGAAAAAGAAGGACAAACAAAAGAAAACAGCGTTTCTCCTCCAGTGTTGCAGGAAATATGCCAGATTCCACAGAGAGAGTGAGACACAGAGAGGGGTTGAGCGGTGATGTGCTTGTGTATGTAAAAAAGACTTTTCAATGATGAAAAATAACCCCATTAACCTCCACTTCTCCTCATAAAGACCCACAGCCCCACCCTCCCCCCACGTCACTGGTCACTTTATATTCACCATCACCTCAACCCCTCTCAGCGTCTTTGCAGATACAAGGTGAAGCTGCCCCCTGGATGCTTATCTCCACTCACTCACTTACAAACATTTATCAGACTGGAGAAGCGGTACCCAGAGAACAGCCTCCGCCCTAGAGATGAGCCAGGCTCTGTATGCTTACCTCAGGCACGGCGGAGGGCTCCGGGCCCTTGGGGGCCTTTTCCATGTCTGACCCTTGTGAGCGCAGCGGGGGTGCCCCAGCCCACAGACCTGGGGCCTCCAGGGGCCGGGGCTCAGAGGGATACAGTGGCGTGGGTTGGATGGGTGGGCAGTATGCTGATGTTGATGATGGCGGTATTGGTGGTGGTGAAGATGATGATGGTGGAAGATGAGGAGGAAGAGGAGGAAGAGGAGGAGGAGGAGAGGAGCCAGCCCCCTGTTTGTTATGAATAGTGGCCCCTGTGGCCCCTGGCCGGAGCGTGCTGCAGTAGTTGTTGGAGCGGAGCCCTGAGGAGCACAGGAAACGAGTCTCACCCACCCACTCACGTACAACTGCAACTCTGCTAGCAGCTGGCCACCAGAACACAACGGGAGAGAGTGGGCAGGGGGGCACATAGAGGCTGCCAGTGCTACACTATCAAACACTATGGAGAGGGGGAGGAAGAAAAACTCTGAAGTTTCACTTTCCACCAGCCGAGGGGAAAGGGTTAGGGCTTCTCTTCTCGCTTTCTCTCTCTTTTTCTTTCGCTCCTCTGCTCTCCTTCTCCTTCCACCCACATGCGTGCGCAGAGGATGGCAACGTGTGTGTGTGTGTGTGTTTTGCGAGAGAGAGTGTGCATGTTCTGTCAGTGAGCGAGTATAATGCATATAAGGAGAGGGCTCGAGGATCCTGTAGCGTGGAGGGAGATTGTTTTGGAGAGGAGCCATCTTGCAGCTTAAGTGAAGACTTTTTGTACACGGAGGGTAAAGGACGACTATATCGACCATGTAAGATGTTTACCAGCAACAAGTTGAGGCATGCTGGATGGAGAATCTCAAATTTCTAGCAGAGCCTTTAGCTCTCCATAACTATTCACACAGTAGCTTTTTTTCTGATACTCAGAGTGCATCTCTTTTTCTTATAGTACATATGAATCAAAGAATGTGTGGCAGGTTGTTCTGGATTGTGTGTGTGCGTATATGAGTATGTGCGAGTGTGGGCAGCGTTTTGGGGAATGTCTCCAGAGTTATGCAGTGGGTTAGCCATTCATTGCCCTCCTCTGCACAACAGACAGAATCACACAACCATGAGGCTCAACCGTGGACGGATTCCTGGAATGTTAAACTACCGCGCCCGAAACTCCCCACTCCCACTTACTGAGAGCACACATACAAATGCTCAACTCCCCATCTCCTCTTCTCCCCACCCCCAGCAGCGGCGGGAGGAACAACAGTAACAGGGAAGAAGAAATGGAGACAGAGAGTAAAGGGATGAGCTACAGGTGAGACAGAGCAGCTCATTAACAAATGGTGCTCCGGCAGTGGACACTTCTTAGGAAATGGAATAACTATGTCGGCCGCGTTAAACAGCCTTGGTTCAAGCCTCCTGAAGAATTCCGACATACGACTATAATTTTTTTGCAAATCTTGTCCCACTGAGTTTAATATTGCAGTCGTGTCTGGCAAGCTGTAAAGAATACAAATAACAGCAGGCTGACTCACTGCACAGCAACAAGAGTGATAGAAAAGAGGAAAAATATATGAATGTGGAATAACTGAATTACTTAAACACGAAAAGATGGTGGAGGAACTAAAATACAACCTGTGTCCTCTCCTTCACCTGCCACCAGAATGGGATCAGGACTTATACGGTCTGTTAAGGGAAGCAATTATTCTAATGTTACTGACCAATTGCCTATAGCTAATCAACTAAAACTTGGTAAGTCTATTAGAGGGAAATAGCCAGGCTTAATGATGGCCTGTTAGCAATGATCTCTGGGCAGTTTTACTCTCCTTTTACTGTTAAAAAAAAAAATGATGAAGAAAAGCAAACTTGGCTTTCTGATATGTATCTCCTGCAGGTAATTATATATATATATATATATATATATATATATATATATATATATATATATATATCCCACTCCCCGATTTAAAAGTTATTACTATCTCTTGTGTATTGATTCTACTTTTACAAAGACCATTACTGCTCTTCCTTTCCTCTTGTTTTCAAAAAGAGATGCAAAGGTGTTTGTTAGGATCCAAATGTTAAAGTCTCTTGCAACAGACTGGCAAAGTTTGTATCACAATCATAAATAAAAATCATAAAACCACTGGAGAGTAGCTAAGGAGCCACTGGGAGCTACTGTACAGGGAGAGTAAATTTTCAAAAGTGGATGTGAAATGATGAGGGCAGGCAGTGGAGAGAAAAGTTCAATAATGTCAGTATGATCCCTATAGTTAATTGGATGTTCTTCACAGCCGGTACGTGGAGGACAGGTTTGTGTGCAGGATGGTCCTATGAAATCCGATGTTTGGGATTGATTGTCTGACGCACAAAAGGGGCAGCGGGGCCAAATCCCAATGATCTTAATTGGATTCAGGAGGCTGATTGACGTACAGGCTGGTCACTATATGTTCTCCGTGGCCCATGCAAAGGATAGCAAAGAGGGAGGGCTGTGCATTTGAATTGTAAGCCCTGTCAACAAGTTGAGGTATTCAGTAGTTACGCTGTAGTACATTGATTCTCCGTTTGGGCCGATTTTTGGATGTATGGATCTTCTAGGAGAAACATGATTTATTAAACAGCCAATTATAGAGAAAGAAAGAGAGAATGGGGGGGGGGGGGGCAGATGCTGTATGTCAAGGCTCTTTGCTGATATTCAGTGGTCTCTCTTGAATTGGGCCAGGTGACCTTGCTCTACCTACTCTCTGCCTAGATCAATACTTTCCCAGGATTTTAAACCGCCATACTTTGATACAGCTGAAGTAAAAGAGGGGGAAAGAGACAGGAGTGAGACAAATACGGAGGAACTACAGGAACCGGCCAGAAGGGGAGAGAGGGAGGGGAGAGTGTGAGGGATGAGTGTTAAGGAGGGGTGAAGGAGAAATAAATGGAGGGAGGGAGGGATGGATGCCGTGAGGAGGAGTATGGGAGGGAAAAAAAGGACAGGAAGGATGTTAAGCAGGGGTGAAGGAGAAGCAGGGAGGAGAACAGGAGGAGGGGGGAAAGAGGGCTGAATGGAGGGAGGGAGGCAGGGAGCAGCGATCTGTCAAACCAGGCAGACTTATCCTCCGCCCAGTAATCTGAGGTACAGTGTTTGTTTATTTTCTGTCCTCATTTAGACACAGTGACAGACCCGGGGAGGGAGGGGATGTTGCTGGCCATCTCGACAAGCCCATTTCCCCAACCCCTATTGTGCAGGGAATTCAAAATAAGGTTCGGCTAACCAAAAACCTCCCAGACGTTTCTTTGGTGACAACTGAAATACAGCTATAAGACTCATTCAGCGTGTTTTTTCCCTATGCAGGGAGCAAATGATTAACATTCTCTGAATTCTCCAAATTTCCTATTCATATAGTCAAGGCTGTAAAGTGTGAGTGTGTATCAAAAAGCCTCTCCTTCTCTTTTCTGGAGCTTGTGAGGCTGTCTATCTGTGCTGTGACAGCATCTGATTCTCCTCTTTAAGCCAACAGAAACATCTCAATCCCACACATTTAACACTTACACAAAAGGGGTGATGTGATGGGACGTGCGTGTGTGAGCGCGTATGTGCAACTGTGAAAGTGTGTTTTGGTCTATTCAGTCTTGGCCCTGTCTTTTATTTTGTAGGTGAGTGGGGCTCAACTCAAAAGGCCTGACTAGGCTCGGAGTTGTACCCTTCCTTTGCTTTTCTTCCGCTCACAAAGACAGGCAGAACTCGGGACAAAGGATCCAATTACTAGCCAGTAAAAGCAAAGAAACACACACACACACACACACACAAATGTGCCCACGCGGACGTGGACTGAAGCAAATATACGCTCATGCTGGCATACACAAAGAGATACACACTTAGATACACTGACAGTTTAACACCCTCACTGAAGGCAAAAAAATAGAAAATTAAGAAGGAAAACATGGACAAAAGCACAAATAAGGATGTTTATTGATCTAATATTGATGTAATTAGCAAACGGTTTATTCTACAGCAAGTGGAGGCTTTAAGTGAAACATGTTAGCTAATATAAGTTATTTTGTTATTTGAACTATATGGTGAGATTTTCAGACTCTCAAAGAATGGAGGAACGTCGTTGAAGGCTTAACACACATAAACATTCAACTATTCACATATAGGTTGCATCATCAATTAAAAAAAAAGAAATTTCATGGTAAACAAACACTTGAATAAAGCATTTATTTTCTCTCTCACAAACATCACATTTCTCTATCATAGATGAATGTTTCAGTGGTTATTCTTTGGAAGGGGCCATCCTTTTAACAGGATGTAGAGGTTTGTGTGGTAGTAGTTGTGTAGAGCAAATCGCTGCATCTTTGTCTGTGCTGAAATACAGTAAGTAAATAATATCTGAACAGTTCCTGCAGTTCCGTTGTGTTATTTTGCTGCTGTGAAATACAGCCGTAGACGCACTGATACGCACAAAGAAGCTGTCACATAAAAACCAAACAAATTTTCTCACGACAGCGAGAGCGATCCCAGCAAAATGTTCTCTCACTGAGTCACTGCTGACTAGTCATCGCTGGCATTGCCACACAAACCCTTTACACACTCAAGTGGCACCACACACATGTGCACGCACGCACGCATGCATGCACGCACGCACGCACACACGCACAAGCATGCATTCAGAGTTATCCAAATACAGAGGCTGATGAGGAAAAATACAGAAGATACTCATGTCAAAAGCGATCAAGCCTGTATGTTTTATGTCTCACAGGTGACCACATGAGCAGATACTCAAAAATACACTAGTAGATTCAAAGCAGTTTGTGTGTACCTGGGTTGTAAGTTTTAATGAGGTGTGTGGCTGGCTGTGTGCGTGTGTGTATGTGTGGGCTTAACAATCAGTGTGAGCACAGTGTTAGTAAATAGCAACTTACAAGACAGGGAGTGTCCTCCTTTGGGCAGGTACTCATACAGCAAGGGGTTATCATCTCCCATCATCTCAGCCCGCAGCGACAGCAGACTGTTCTTACTCATCAGTGCCGCCTTCAGATTGGCTACAGATGAGATTGTGCCACCCCCAGCTCCTCCCCCAGCATCCTCTGATTCATTGGAACCCAGGTAGCTGGGCTCTGTGGTGAGAGCCTCTTCCTGTTTGAGGAAGAAGTCGAGGCGCTCACCGCGGCTGTCTGAGCTGTTGGGTTCGGTCACGTCTGCCCCTGAATAGAGATGAAGTAACAGAAGATGAGTGAGGCTCTGCTGTCCTTCTGCAACCATTACTGACTGACATTAAAATGGCTTTTTAAAACCAACCCAAACTAAAGCAGGGAAATTCAAGTAGGTGGTAAAAGACAATGCCTTACAACATTTCACACAATGCTGTTTTGAGGGAATACATGCTTCTCTTTAGGGTTAAAATCCTGCCACTCTTGGATTTGTGAAACCCTAAATAGGAATAGTGGTTGAGCTATAAAACCCTAACATTGTACTTTAATAGTTGTCACTTTGTCAATTTAAAGGTGTCACCCGACAGTGATAAGCAGCTTGAGCAAAAAATAAATAAATAAAAAAGCCAAAAAACACCATATTAAAACAATTCTTTCAAACCTCTCAGCCGACTCATCGTTTACACTGGGTGATTTCGGTTGCGTCTACCAACACGTCACTGCTCTGAATCATCTCTCCCTCTCTCCTTGACTCCCTAACATACCTCATCATCACCAGTAAACAAAAATACAGGGAGATCATAAGGAGACAGTGAGAGAGAGAAAGGCAGACGCAGACGTGGTGTGTGCGTTAGGTCTGTGTGTTTAGCCGTCAGTCGTTGAAAGCGGAGCATGTAGAGAAGCTGTCAGCAGTAGACATGTCGCTGGAGGTTCCACTGTAGATCTACAAGACTGTCAGGCCACACTGCTGACAACAGCTCCGCTCAACACAAACATACACAAATACGGACACACAGGCACACTTTCATTGCCTCCTAATTGACATTTAACTGATGACAGGTTGCTTTCTCTAACAAAGCCGGAGACAAAAATACACACCACGCACATCACAAGCTTAGAGATTTTTAAAGAATGGCTTGTCTACACTTAAAACAAACACACACAGACTTCTTAGTACTAATGCATACTTGCGAGTTGCTTAAGGGGTGTGTGTATGTGTGTGTGCGCATAATTGTGTGTGACTGTTCTGGACAGAAACCTTATGACATCCTAATATATAAGTCTACCGTTCCACAAAGCCCATGCGGTGACAGCTGAAATCACACTTAAAGCTAATGGGGGATAAACAAAGTGAAGACAAGAAATAGGGGTGATGTGGGGGCGCGGAGAACAGAAACAGGTGGAAGAGCAAAGGAGTGAAAAAATAAAATGGATGCAAGAGAACAAAATAGCCCTATTGTCCATTTTAACTACAGTCAGGTAATGCTAAGTGTTTCCTGTGCAGTCTAGTGCTCATCTGCTGCAGGGGGAGTCAAGGTGACAGCGACAGTAGTTTGCTTCCACGTCTGGAATACCGATGGGTATGCAGCCTCTTCCCAGCCTCCTGGGTCAATGTTGACCACTCTGTCTGACACTGTCAGTCATTTTTCATGCACAGTATAGATAAATGATTGCAGATCAGATGGATAGATACACACTCTGCACATACACACATAGATCTAAAAAGGTGTAGAGATAGGAGTGAGATATTGAGGTTGGGGGGGGGGGTGACAGATAAGAGTGACATACATACGAAGTAATCAGTGGCCATCGAAACTACTAGCAGACACAGAGGAAGATATAAAAAGAGGAGATAAAGTAGGAGGGATGAAGAAAGAAGAGAGGAGTCACGGACAGAGTGAGATAGAGAAAGAGAAAAAAAGGCAGGGGAGTGTAGAAGCGGGGGTGTTGAGCTGTGGAGGAAGCACAGAAGATACACACAAAACACACACTCATGCATCCACGCACACCCTCGTCCCACCCGCACAAACACACACACAAAGTTAATTAAGGAGGGGGTGTAGGGGTTGGCGCAAGGGGCATGAGGTGCAGGAATTCATTAGAGCTCTGCCCCCTCCTTCAGTGGGCAGCCCAGCAGCCACAGGAGTCAATCAATAACATAGATCTGCTGTGGGCCAACAACAAACACACACACATGCACACAAACACACACACACAAACACACACACACACACACACACACACACACACACACACACACACACGTACATGGAGAAAGGAGAGGAAGACAAATGGAAGGAGAGGAAGCGAAAAGGGAGAGAGAGAAAAGAGGGTCACCTCTGACCCCTATCTCCCTCCACTCATCTGTCCATTGGAAGAGTGAATGACCCCTGACCACTTTTCCCAGCATCCCCTGGACACGTGCATCTACAGATGGAACATGTCCGCCCTCCTCGCAGTCATACAGTAACAATGCTTCAGTCACACGTGGCAGATTAAATGGCAGAGTTGTGGAAAAGTGATTGCTTCATGATTTCCGCGCGCATATCATGAAGGTGTGGCATTAATATCAGTGTTCTGGGCATTAGGGAAAGGTATCTTTCTCTGTCCTGCTGACACACTCTGCTGTGCAACATACAGTATTCTGCTTTCTGAGGATTTAGCCACATTTCCGAGACTAAGCATGAGATATTAGAAATTAGTATTCAGCTGACCACAAACAGGCTTCCGCGCCAAATAATCGGAATATACTACTTAATCCTTTACTTATGTAAGCTTTATCGGGCCCTGCATAGATGGTGTGTTACTTAAACCTCATCCTGTTCCGACAGATAAAATCATTTACCGCACCAGAAACAGTCGCACCTAATCCCATGCACGAAGCTTATGGATTTCATCATACGTGTGCTGGGTTTTGTTTAGGATTTGCAGACACACATATTGTGATGTCTTTCAGAGGCAATAGGTTTATCTGTGGTTAGGACGCTGTTGTTACATCATACCTTTGTGCACATAGGATGAGGGTTAACATACTGGTTGTCATGAGACAACCTATGAATTTCAATGGCATGGGATATGACTTTGAACGGCATGGTCAGATACAAAAAAACAATAGCATGTTCTTCATCTTTTTTAGCCCTTTCTTCTGTCTTTACAGTGCACCGGTCTCTGTACAGTGAAGGGAATTTTCATTTTCCCCTTCATAAAAGAGTCCGAATAATTTAGATTTCTGCTTTCTGAAGAGATCCTCCGTTTAATTTGGTTGCCATGGTAGCCGGGCACCCTTGGCTTCAACATTTATGCTAAATAAAACCCCCTTTTAAAAAGGAGAGACAAATATGTGGAAATGGTGGTTCTCTTTGTTCATGTGTGTGTTTGCGCATGTGTGTGTGTGTGTGCGCGTGAGCGATGCTGCAAGCTATGTGGGGGCTTGAGTGGGAAAAAGCACAAGCGCAATAAGACTTGCCTTGGAATAAAAGATATGTGTGTTGAACTATACTTCAAATGTGTTGTGAGGGATACTGCATTTATCATCCATTGAGAGAGTTACAGCTAATGGATAGAAGATACAGTTTTATGTGCTGTGGTTGGAGGCTGCACTGTACATCTGAGCGAAGTGTGTTTGTGTCTATCTGTGTCTGCGTGTGTGTTTCACAAGGGGAGTTGTGTTATTAGAGAGCGTGCTTTGACGCAGTAAAAAGGAGGAGAGAAAAGGCCTGAAAAGGGAGTGAAGGGTCAGCTGACCCAGTTTGACCTCTGATCTTCTGTTCTGATTGTGCTCAAAGAGTGTGTCCGTGTGTGTGTCTTCTCAAATGCCTCCTTCCCCTCTAAATGAAGCCAAACTCTATTGTGTGAGGGAGTTTCCACTTTCCAAAGATACAGGTTTTTCATAGATAAATGGATGAACAAATGTAAATGGACATACACCCGCTACTCGTGCAACACACACGGTACCTGGCTGCCGATGGACACACTCCTTTCACACCTCCAGTCTTACACACACACACACACACACACACACACACACACACACACACACACACACACACTTCAAATCAACAGAGACAGTAGCCAAACACAATGGAGAGAAAAAGTCCAGGGTGGTTAAGCAATGAGTTACTGAGGCTTGTCGACCACAAGAGAGCTGTCAGAGAAGAAAGTCGGGCTTGTGTGCATGTTTGAGTATGGGAGTGCAAACAAAAGAGAAAGACTCTCTCACTGTGTATCTTTGTGTGTGTGTAGTGTGTGTGTGTGTGTGTATGTGTGTGACAGAGAAAGACACAGAAAGAAGCCTTGCCCCAAGTCGGCCTGGTTAATGGCTCGGCCAGCCTGAGGTTGAAGACAAGGCATTATAAGAGCTGTGTTGTCACAAGCCAGTATTGTCGACGCGACATTACAGCGACATGCTTCCAAACGAGAAAACGCAAGTCTCTCCTTCACCTTTTTTTTCTCTTGCACAAACAGCTCCGAACGCTACGCTGTACATGTGATTAGTGTGTGTTTGTCCTCGAGTGGACAAAGAGGGGAGGGAAGGTGGAACTTGCTTCCTCAGCATGCCAGAGTTTGAGAGGGTAAAAAAGTAATTTCAGCCGAGAAGGGGGAGTAAGGCACTAAAACAGCTCAAGAATTCAGAGGCAATTTAAAAAGCAGTGTGGGAGAGGGGAATGAAAAAAATGCTGGGTTAAAAAGGAGGGAGGATGGAAAGTAAAAGAGGTTGTTATTCTCTCCCTCTCTCTCTTTCTCTCTGTCTTCCTCTGACTTGCTCTCTCTGTTGTTTTTAGGGACTAGCCGGGCCACAACCTCCAGGAGAGATAGGGAAGGGTGGGTGGGTGGTGGTGGGGTGTGTGGATAGGGAGGGCAAGCATAAATCAAGCAGAGCCTGAAGGCTTTAGCAGAGGGAGGGACAGAGGGAAGAGAGTGGTAAAGGACAGGCAAGAGAGAGAGAGAAAGAGAGAGAGAGAGATGGTGGTACTGCTGGGGGGCTCAGAGAAAAAGAGAGAGTGTGGGTGGAGGGGAGGAGAGGAGAGAAGAGAAGAGGAGTACAGCGATTGCAAGAGTGGTGGGGTGAGAGGTGGACGGTGGGGTGATGGAGTGTGGGTGGGTGGGTGAGTGAAGGGGGAGTGAGGAGAGGTGAGGGGGAGGTTACAGAGGCTGTGGGAGGGAGGGCGGTTAGTGACGGTGGGGGTGAGCAAGTGAGTATGTGAGAGTACGTCTACAGTAAGCCAGCTAAATAAAAAATAAAAAAAGAAGCATGTTTTCCTCTACGTTTTGGC